TTGTAATTTAGACCTTTGAACACACAATATCCGTAGATATTGGCACAGGCCTTAGAAACCTTTGCTAATATTTATAATTCATTCTCTTTACTTAAGTTTAATTGCCCCTCTCCCAACATCATATGCTTATAGTGATTCCCAGTGAAATTCACTATTCAGAATCGCTGTAACAGTACCAGCATCACGTTTACTAGTCTTTCTTCATTTTACGTTTGAAACTCCTTCCTTCCGTAAGCTGGATTTGTTGTGTTTCATGAAACGGCAGGCGTAAACAATCCAAAAATTATTATTAAGGAATTTCCAACTATTATACCATGTCCAGATGAGTGGTTATAGTTCCTTATGAAACTCTTTTTCAGATACTTCAAATTGATTATTTATATTGAAGAATGAAGCACGTTTTTGATTAGTTATTATATATTGCATTTTAATATTGAATTTTAATTTTTTATTGAATTTTAATTAGAAAAAATAATTATTCTTAAAGAAATAATGCTGTTGAAGTCTAAATTAGAAAAAGGTTGCTGTTGAAGTCTTAAAGAAAGGCTGCTGTTGAAGTCTTAAAGAAAGGCTGCCATCGAGTCTTAGAGAAATGGTGCCATTAAAGTATCATAATTCATAAAGAAATTATTATAGGTTGTATTTATTATTATAGTTTGTGTTTATTAATATAGTTTTTTATGAGCTTGTATTTGATAGTAATTACCCTCCCTCACCCACCCACCCACCATACACAAAATAAAGCAAGCAACAATCACCTTGCAATATTTTGATTGTTTACATTTTTCTTTGTATATATATGACACGTGTGACTCGTCAATTGGATCAAATAAATTCGGATATATATGGATTGGATCAAATATATATTGATTGGCTCAATTCGGATTGCACTACCCGGCTTTAGTATTCCCCTCGATATATCCATTAACTAGGCAATGATTATATGATCCCCAATATTGAGACGTGCTCGACTTGGTTTAAAGTCAGAAGACTCACTACTCACCAAATCATTACTTTTTCGTAAATAGTTTGTTGGTTCATTATAAAGTATTATCTTTACTACCTATTATTCATATAGATTTTGCTAGGCTAAACGAGAAATGGTCTTACAAAAATTGTACTACATTCCTAGTGTTCGGTTCGGATTTGAGGTCAACCCGAACTGATAATTTCGGGTCAGATTCGGATCGGGTTTGATCCGAAAATCGTAAAATAGTTTTTCGTTAATAATTTTTATTTTTACTAAGACACTTGTATTTTGTGTCTAAGTAGAGTTATTCGGAATGTAATTGTGTATATGCCCACAAATTTTCATTAATATTGAACGAAAAATAACATTTTTTAGGCTGACCCGAATTATTTCGAGTCGGGTTTGACCCCAATACGACCCGACCCGAAATTTGCGTTCCGGGTCGGGTCACGGATCGGACCCGACCCGGTTGGAGCACTACTACAAAAATGCGAAATTTTAAGAGGTGATGCTAAAGAACATGGATATAATTTTTCATTGCATGATGTGAATTCATGGCTTAAAAAGCAAGCTACGTATATGGCAAGTCTACGCACCTGCTCCAAAATATATTCCTTGTCCTAGCTTTATTAATATTACTGTCCCAGATGAAGAACATCAATGGGATTTAGTAGTAATTCCTCCTGAATTTTCAGGGCTTGACTTTTTCCTATATGCTCAAACTGTTAAAGATATAGCTTCTCGAAGTTGTTGGGCAGTTTACGAAATAATAAAACTTCAGCTCAAACAGTTGAAATATTTGAAGAGGTTTATAGTGACCCGGACATTCCTGTATTTTATCCAGAAAAAATAACTACTGATAATGGCAGAGTTTTTAGGTAAATGTAAGAAATTTTATACCAAACAATATATATCATAAACAAGCTAAAACTAAGGAGGAAGTTTGTATTAATGAAAGATTTAATCGAACATTGATCGAAAAAGTATTTCCTATTCAATATGCTCAAGAAATGCTATTACCTTGGCCTGAGAGGTCTCGAATATTTAAAAAAATTCTTCGCCCTATTATTATCAAGCTTAATAACACTCAAACGCGTCTGATTGGTATGAGTCCAGCTGATGCAAGAAAAAAGAAGCATGTGTATGCCAACCCTTCCAAACCTGCTTATCGACCAATTGGTTATGATGAGCCTGTGCTCGAAGTTTATAATGTTCGATATCTTCTTGAGCCTGATGAGCTTGAAGGTGGTCTTTCTAGAAGACGGGCAGGTGATTTGATATGGAGCCCTGATATCAGATTGAGAAAGCTTTGATACAAAAAAATCAACCAATACTTTATTGGTTAGATAATGGACCAAAGCGCTCATTCGTCAGAGAAAAGCTTATGAAAATTACAGATTGTGTGCTACCTCCAAATTATATTTTAAATAAAAACAAATGGTGGTAGTATATATTCGAAAATCCATTGACTCCAGCATGTTAGCTATCTGCTAGCACATTATCAATAGCCTCATCTATTTCTGCCTCAGTCATAGGGCGACTTTCTTTGGATAATTCGTAATAAAGATTATATAGATTCTCTATACTTGCAAGTAGCTCTTACCTTGGAACCATTTTCGATATCTTGCCATTCTTTATTATATGCTTCCTCATTTGGAATAACATTATAGCAGTTGATTTTATATATTCGTCTGGTTTTTCTTCTTGTCGCAAATTTTTCACATATCCAGCATATTCGCTAATAAGTTTGCTGTCTTTTTTGTATCGGAGACGGAATGCGTCTTTTATTATTTTGATTTGCGCTGATTCAATCACTTTCCATGAAATAGCACTCGCTGAATCTGAACTGTGCTCTGTCATTGTAATAGCACTCGCTGAATCTGAACCGTGGTCTGTCATTGTAATTTTTGTATGCTCTCTATACGTTGTGTATATTTAGTAAATTTTTCTTTAATTATTAAAATTAATTATTTAATTTATATGGATAAACCTATCTACTATGACAGATAAAAAAATGGACATTTCTTTTGCGATATATATAGTTAGATCATATGCCGAATGATCTTTCTATAAACCCATGTCTGCCAGTATTTCTCGAGGTATATTATTCCCATATTGCTCTAATGCGGTTAAATACATTGGAATTCGACAATCTCCTATTGCCCAAGTTGTGATCCGGTTGCTTAAGATCCATCTTTTTGAATCGAGTGGGTTAATACTCTTTTTTGTCTGCTGGATTATGTATGGCACAAATCGTTCACATCGTAGAAATTGTGCTGTTCTGGGTTCATCTTCTATTCCTTATAGAATACATCGTTCGTAGATATCAATCGTTAGTTCTTTTTTAACGAGAGATTTTTTAAGACCTTTTGCTTTTTGTACATTTTTAGTTAAATCCTCAATTTCTATTGCGTATGATTTAGAACTCGAATTCCTCCATTTTCATCTTTCCATTTCCCTATTACCTTCTTGTTTTTTAATTCTCGTGAGCCGTCTGGATTATATATCCATTGATCAGCTGGAAGTTTTGCGAGTAATGTATGGTCTTCGGGATAATCACTGAAATCGTAGATTTGCATCTTCAACCATGTCGGCATATACATCTTCCGTCTCAATTTCGATAATCAATGAATCTGTATCTGTATAACAGAGTTTTGCTCGATTACCATATTTTCGTTTGATATGGCCATACCAGAAGTCATACATAAAGAATTTGCTTAGATCTAGAATCGTTGCTCCTACATATATAGGCTTATTCAGTATAACATGTGTTTGTCTTCGATGTACTGCAATAAGATTTGAGCCATAAAAGATCTTGCGTTCAACCAATGCTGGATCTGCAAGCATTTTTCGAAGACGATTCTCCTCACCTATTTGACGTACTAAATCGACCCGTGTGCGACGTCGAACATCCTCCATAGTCTTACCAAAGACAGCATGATTCATCAACTTCCATAGGTCCTTTTCGAATGCATTTTTAGCGTCACGCCGTCGAAGTGTATTAGCATTAATATATGGCTCAAGCCATGGAGATTGGTCGAATTCCATTATTCGATATACATGTACTAGTCGCATTCCTAGGGCAAGACATTGCTGGAGGTTTTGGTAATGGAGAATATAGTGATCTTTTGTCTCCAATGTGGCGACGAGTTCTTCTGTTTCTGCGAATTTTCCTCTACTCAATTCGTCAATTAAATCTTTATTTTGATAAGGACTAAACTCTACACGCTTAACTACTCGACGTTCTGGACAAAGAGGGAAATCTGTATGTAATGGTCTGGATATTCTAACTTAACTTCCCAAGCACTTCCTCGTTTAGACGTTGGAGAAATGGTTCGAATATCAGGCAAATTGTTCAGGTCGAGCCAACGAAATCCACCAGTAGGCAGATATTGAGACATAGCCCACACATATAAATTATTAGCATCTAGATATAAAATCCATTTGTTAGCTTTCCGCTTATCATATCCTTTCATTCCTGGAAAATTTGCTCGAGCAATACGACGAGGTGCCATTGAATTCCCACCACGCGTCCATCGTTGGAAAAATTCGTGCATATCCTCCTGCCCCTCATGGAAAAGCTCAAGCTTAATTTTTGTCGTCTTTTTGCTACATCATATGCATATGATGGTAGTGTAATATAATTGACCGGATCAAGTCCGCAAACTTTTTTCATTGACATTCGGAAGTACTGGAATGAGTCGGCTAATATTAGTACATCAATTTTTAAGTACAGATCATGATACTCTCCAAATGTCTCACATTTCGCCTCTTTCCATACTTTTTGACATGATCATAACGCTCCTTTTCTAAAGATGGAAATTGGAATTGACAAGAGTCGATAAATTTATAGTTCTCCATATTATTTGCAATTATTTCGATCTTGTCATCAGTAACTAGACCAAGTTCTCGCAGCTCAAGGTGAATGTCATAATGCTTACCTCCTTGATATAATATTGGAATTTTGATCTCATCAGGCTTTATTCGGAGTTGAAGGTTACAACCACGATGGGCAGAACCACGAAATCGTCCAGTAAAATGGTTTTACTTTATTTTGCTTTTCTTCTATTTGAAGGCGTCCCTTGCAGATGTAACATTTGGTAACTATATCGAAAAATTTTTCTTCTTTGTCTAACTCTTCTGTACGATACATAATCTCTTTTGGGTTCTCGCCAGTACCTTCACATTTGATCTTAACACACCCATGCTGGGATGCGCCTATTAATTTTCGGGTTTTACTATCGAAATATTTCACTTTATTATATTTGCTATTTAGTAGTCTCTCATCACATATGTAACATCTGCTAGATTTCGTCAATCGTGTTCTGTCATGTTTATTTTTACAGGATTACGCAGTATTGGCATAATAATTTCTTCTAAATCCTGTTGCATGCTCTCCCATGCTTCAGCAATCGAGTTTGGCGTGCGTCTGATAACCTCTTTTATAAGTTTTCCATCCTTTTGTATTAAAGTATAACCAAAACTATTTGGTTGCTGTTTTTGAAGCTTTATGGTATTTGTATTTTCATCAATGATATTATTTTCTATTGCCTCACTATCAGCTTCGAGATCTTTAACAAATATAAATGGCGCGTCCTCCATTGCTTTATATTTCTCAAATTTACTTATATGTTTACCCTTTTTTGGGAAATCCTCTCTCTGCCCCGCATATTGATTGTTTCGTCCATGACAGTTATATTGTCTGTGATTTTCAAGTAGATCTAGTCTCGAGAATGGTGCAATCATACAATGCTGACAAAAGTATTTACGTTCATGAAACTTATTCCAACTACGCATAATTCGGTTCCAGCCTTCCTCTCCATTGATTAAACAGTAATGCGTATTTAACCCTTCTGGTATATCGTTAATATTACGACGATCCCCGAGATTTTCTTCCTCCGTAAATAATATTAGGTCTACCATGTAATCTCTCTGGTAATTGTACTCAGAAATGCGAAGTGGCTCAAGTTTTGCAGTTCGCAATTCTCTATCATTTTCCATGTATGCTGGAATGAAAATATTTATTGCATAAGTTGGATTATTCTCTTCAAACTTATCAATATCTCGTAATGTAGCTGGAAAATCGATACCTGTAAAATCAAACATATTGTAATCTAGTTACATCATGAAGATTTCTAGCCCTACGACCCATTCTACGAGCTTCTTCACTTGCTAAGCGAGCTTTCATGCATACTTCGAAACACTTTTTATCTGTATCTTGGGGATTTATTATCCCAAGTTGTGGTTTTGCCCATACCTCAGGTAAAGCAAAATGTGAGCTACCTCGAAGTGGTTGGTATGCATATTCATAAGTCCAGCCAGAATTTGGGTTGTGTTCCATTTCATCGATTTTATCCAAGATTTCATGATACTGTCGTGAAATTATTAGATCAATGTGGTCTTGACGTGTTATATCTAAGATTTCACTTGGAAATGCTATGTTTGCATCAATTCGATGCGCAAATCTATTTCCTTGTACAAAACGATACATGTGAGCTATAAGTACAATCTTTACTTTAAGGCCTCCTAGACGTGGTAACTCTTTTCTATAAACATCACTAATTTGATCTTCGATATCCTCAAACATAGCAAGAGGGTCGTGTCTCTGAGGATAGTTCTGAGGAATATCAGTAAGATAATCGATGCATTGACTTGGGCCCGGGAGTCTTCCAGACTCTGTTATTCTTTTTGGTAGTGGATTCTCAATCATTTTAAATGATATTGCTGGATCTAGTTTTTCCTCATGTTCGAATTCAGAATCATCACTCGGCTCATTTTCCTAATCTAAGTCATCATCGACAGTTGATGTATTTCCTTCATCGGCGATGTCGTACTCGCTCTCCCCCTCGTCCTCTGGCTCTTCTTCTGGCGGTATTGGCTCTGGCTCAGGTTGCGGGCCTTTCCAGCTCGGAAAGAAATTTCCAAGTATTCTTCCTATTGATATTACCAAAAATTGCGCTCATATTTTCGTTCTGTATATTTAGCGTTTCAAAAAATTCAATTCGAAAAATATTTCTCTGTATAAATAGCGTCTCAAAAAATTCAGTTCGAAATTAATTCACTGTCTATTAAAAGTTAGAAAATCTATATAATACAGATGGCATTTTATTTATGCTTCCATACATTTCTTGATGGTCGTGGTTGTGGGAAAGGCAGTTATCAACAAGAAGGATGTCATATTCACTGGAAACAGCGTGTTCCCTGTGGTGAGTGCGGTACTCCGACAGCTCCTTCATATGGCATGTGCAAAAAACATGCGGGAAAATATCGAAATAGAACAAATTATCTTCGGAAAAAACTATGTGTATCTGCTGAATCTTAACTTTACATTGTAATGTGAATTTGATATCTATTTAGCTTGCTACTTGCCTATAGGCAAAAAAAGGCTTGCATGGCGGACAATCGCTACGCTACTATGTAGCATCGCTCTGCCTTTTTTTTGGCAAGCTGTGATGCAAGCGATTGAAATATATAATAGATAAAATCGGTACAAAGCATTCGTAAGCTATATTGCCAATCAATATTTTACCCTAAAATCGATTGCTATTTGTTCATTGAGTTCGTAGTTGCCTTTGGAACTCTTTCTCTACAGCAAACAGGATAGAAAAATAAATCGATTGCTAATGCTCCGCTTCGCTCCGCATTCGAAATCGCATTTCACCCTTTGGGTTCATGCTCCTTCTCTATAGCAATCAAAATATAAAATTAATCGATAACTGACTACGTATTGTACTAAAAGTTAACCAATCAGTAATCGGAGACAGAAAAAATCAAATGACCAGAAATTGAGCCAATCGATCTCTAACCAATCGTCCACAGGTTATTGTATATACATGTACTAGAAAGATACCCAGGATGATAACCAAATAGAGATCGAGGCCTTTTGTGCCAAAAAGCCTATTTTCCTACCACTAAAGCCAGTGATGGCTAACTTCATATTAAAAATTCTAATTTTGATTATTGGACCAATACTTTTGGTACATTATGTTCTTTATCCTATACTTGTAAAACGACCATAGCTTCTTAGACTTACAAAACATTTTGTTGGAATCGGGGGGACAAATTTTAAGAAAGTGCGTGCGCGTACAAGTCAAATTTTTCATCGACGAAAAATTCTATCGCTATCCTTTATCAATTCCAAATGTCGCCGATCAATTTATTTGTAGGGAAGAAATAAGGGATAACTTAGCGTTTATAATGATTACTACATGTCGTGTGTGAGGTTATTAATATTGCAAATTGATTGGGGAAAAAATAAATCGATATCGCTAGCGAAAATTTACGATAAATAATAAATATACATGCAAAAAATAAATATTTTCTGATAGAATGTCTGTTTGAATATGAGTGTGTGAATGATTGGGATATTGATAAATAAAAGTGTATGTAATGTGTGTATAAATGCGCGTATGCTAACTATGAAAAAATGCAATATTTATAATGTTATAGTCAAGCCCTAAAGTGTAATGTAAAGGAGAGAATCACTGGCGTTGTGGAATGATCTGTGATTAGAGATCAATTGAAACGGATCAGAGATTTTCGAAATCATAATTAATGAACGAGCAAAGACCAAGAACTTACATGATCACGATAAATCAGGTTGTGGTTCGCCAAATAGAAAGAACAAGTGATATTTGGGACAACAGCTCTAGCAGCACGAATGGCACGTTCGGTGATATTTGTTGCCTTGATAATATTTAAATGTTCCAAAGTGTTAGGTGAGTATTCCGAAATCACTCTTAAATGATCATCCGAAATACTTTGGGTGGCAGGTAATTCAAATGTCTTTAACGGGGCTTGACAATTCTGATAGAATCGCAATAGAGATTCTGCGGTAAATTCCAAGTCAAGCTGTATCGTTAAGTGTTCCAATGTGCTTGGTATAGCTGCCCCGAGATCTACAATGAAATAATCAGCCTCGTATAACTCATCGTCCTCACTCTCGTCATCTTTAGTGTGCATAATCGACAAAGATTCGAGTTGACGCCAAGCTTTGACCATTCGTAAAATTTGTTGCAGTTCAGTAATGACACCATGCACTTGAAATTTCTTGATGTTTGGATTATTTACGGCGAATACTTGAACAGCACTCCAATTTTCTTGGTATCCTTCGTCGCGTAACAACACTTCTTCTAAACTGTGGCCGGCATTTACGGCAAATGCTCGAAGTGTCGGCACGGAAACAAATGTCTTGTCAAGTGTAAGTGTTTTCAGATTCGGGAAATAGGGAGTAGTTGGTTTCTTGTTTGCACATTTACCAATATTTTGGCATCTGTTAAATACAATTGACTCGAGATTATTGCATTGCCCAAGTACATCCAACAATGGGTAACCTCGAATATCGATGGTTGAGAATTGTACATGACGAAGAGTGTCTTGGGCCGATTTTAATGCATTAAAAATATTACTCAAATCAATAGCGTATCCACGAAAAGGACAATCTTGAAGATGGAATCGTTCTAGATTTTCTTGCTTAGTTATCAATGTGACTAACGTCTCTGCTCCAGCTTTAATCATCAGTTCACCACGTTGATATCTAGTCCATCCAAAAGTGTCTAATGAGACCTCAATTGATTCGATTTTCGTGCATAGAGCTGATGCCGATAATAGAAGTGTCGGATCATAAGCCCCGAAACAGCTTAGTGTTCTTAATTGTGATAAAGAACGATCAGCTCCAGGGAAATGGAAAAACCTCCAATCGTCTTCGCTCCAATCATAATCATCTAGTGAAGTATCAAAGTCCAATTGTAAGTCAAAGAATACTGCATCACTAGCTAATATATGACGACACAATATTTGCAATACGGATTGTGGAGATGCTTGAACGCAACTTGCGCTACGCCAATCAGAAGTTGCTCGTGCCAAGTTCACAAAGTCTAAATGTCTTAAATAGTTTGCATATGAAAATGCGGCTGTGTCTATATCTTCGATTCCTATTCTTTCCTTATCCTCATCGGGGAGACTCGAGAGCAAAGCGTTGATAAGTGAGACCGATGAAGAGTAACTTGCGTCCGTGCATTGAAATGGTGTTCGCCATAAATATGAGACTGCATTATGACACCAGTGTCTATTCACTAATAGACAAGAGTGTAATGTTCTTGGATCGTCAATCAACAATTGAAATATCTCGTGAAGACATAATACCGGAAGTGTAGAGGCCATAATGGCCGATTTATCTAACAACGACTTTCGTTGTTATTTATCACCGCAGCAAATATGCTTTGGTTTTTAACCTATATCGATATCAATATATTATGATTGATATTATGATTGATATTATTATTTTATTATATTTTAATTGTTGGTGGAAATAATATTAATGTTGATTGACGATACTTGTATCTTCCCCCAATCGAATATACAAACCACAAAATTAAAAATTCTTTCTTTTAAAAGTTGAATTTTATATGATGAAAAGTTGGCGGAAAGAAAAGATTTTGATTCCCGCGCAGCGGTAATAAAAAATTAAAGTGGTTTGTAACAAGAATAAAAGATATACTTGATTGGATAGTGGTATAGTTTCACTATACGTAGTGTGCGTGTGTATGTGTATGTGTAAGTGTGTTGTTAGTGTGAAGGGGGTGTGAGTCTAAAGGTGAATGATGGGATAGGGAAATATTGTTATTGTTTAAAAATATGGGAAATAAATTAAATGAATGTAGGAATGACGATGGTTTGGTTCTTCGTACAATCTATCAGAAATTTGGCAATTCTTTTTATACAGTACGTTACATAAAACAATTTTTATTACACTCTTCATTTGATAATGCGCAATGGCAATCGGTTATACACGACTTGCTTCGATTGCAAGTGTTACCTTTTTTATACACAACAGGGGAAATACATGTAGACAATTTTCAAATGATTTCAAGTCTTTACGTATTTCAATGATGCCATATTATTACCTACATTTCTGCTAACCAAATCTTTTTGGATTCCGTTGTTGTTCTTAATATTCTTTTCCAAATCAGGATGTTATGCGACACGTGCCAAGTTGGATTCACGGATAATAATAACGATAGAGAATAGAATGGACACCAATTATCGTTATGTAGCGGTCGTACATGTATGTAACATATCAGTATTCTTAGAATTTCTTAAATGATGTAAATAGAGAACTGAAACTTCTTTCTGATGTATAAAATTACGTCATAAGATTTTACATTTTATTGTTATCGTTATCGTTATTGATCAAGTGGTTTGACTAATTAGCGTTAGTCATTTTCAATTTGCAAACACCTACGTATTTCTAATTACTACAATTTACTTTTCTCCTTCTTCAACTTTGAACTTTCTGGCTCCATCGGATCAATTTCATTCATTTTTTGATGCGTGACAGGATTCGCTTTGCCATGCTCCTTGGCAGGTGATTCATTGTCACTTCCTTTCGTAAGAGGTTTTTCAACCACTTTGGGATTCCTTTTTTTAAGAGAGACGATAAACGGCTTTTTATCATCGTTAATATCTTTTTTGTTTTTCGAAGTACTTTCGTTTTTCTCTTTTTATATTATTAGATGTAATTTCAATCAATTAGTCACCAAGCCAAGACAGTTATGAAGATAGAGGAATTGATAACAACATACGAGACTCATTTACTGCTACTTTTTGAGCTGCTTCCATTTCAGCCTGTTTAGTTAACGTTTCATTAGTCCCATCGGCAACCAATTTTTCATCATGAATCGTCCTGCCTACAAGAAAAGAAAATCGACACACAATTATATTTATTGTATGACGGTAAAATGAGCATAAGTACAACACAACACACACCAAGCTTTTCTTTTGCAACGCCTTTGATGTATTGAGCTTTATCAGCAAGTTTTTGGGTCTTCTTAGAAGCCATTTTAATGAAAAATGTAAGCAAGGAAGTTTGACCTAATGGTGATCTTATATTATTCGTTAAAAATGATCGCGTGGGAATTTATACTTAACGTCATTTTTGCTAATGATATATATTGCTGATTGATTTTTGCCATCATAAAAATACGTATATCGATATTGTCGGGGCATTGATCGTTTATTACGTAAGCAAATACAAGCCGTGTTCTCATCAAATAGAATAAAAATCTATTGTTCGACGTCCTATGTTTTTGCGTTGCTGGAACATCCAATTTGTAGTTAACGTTAACCGACTAGACTAACATTTCTAACATGGCAAAATTTACATGAATTATGAATCTATACCGATACTATCGCTATGTCCGACTGAGGTTTTTCTTTCATGTCGATGCAAGCAACTTCACTATTTTATCCAATACTATATCTTCAGCATCAAGAAATTTATAAAATAATTCATTTACTCTAATAATATCGATATCCGGATCTATATCTTATTTTGCCGACAGGTAAAAAAGGGTTGGTACACTAAAGGTACACCCAAAAAAAAACCTTTTTTACGTGGTACTTCCTTTGTAGAAAATATAAACCTTATTCTTTTTAGTAAACCAATTATTTCTTTAATTTTCTACAAAGGGAAAGGGGGGGGAGTAACAGGCAAAAAAATAAATAATTTGTTAGTTGACCCAATAATCAATCCATCTTCGCCTTCAAAACAATAAGCAGAAACAACCAACTGTTTAGATTATCCAGTTTTTCATTTAGAATAATTTTTGTATTCCGTTTTATCGAGAATTTTATAGTCATTGATTGTTGAGGGGGCAAAAGAAACTAGTTTAAATTTTAATAAATACCAAAAATCATAATTTTCTTGTTCTTACCGTAATGGTTCGATTTCATTTTCAATGACAGGAATTTTCGACTATTACGTATTAACTTAAAAACGAATTTTCAAAAACATAAATAAAAGCTTTAATTGAGTATATTTCAACAGCCATGATTCTTACTTATCTTTAAACGAGCAAGTTTTTAAGAACAATTAACAGAAAATGATGAATTAATATAATTTATGAAGCAACACTTTGTTCCAAGGTTTTTTGCACATTTTATATTGGCAATAACTCATGGGCATTAGTAGAGGTAAATGGTTCATAAATCAGTCAAGAAAATTCTTAATTAGGAATAGAAATCGTAACGGTAATTATTAAAAGAACTACGTTCAAGTACTATTGTATGGCGATATGTTTTTTAAATATTCTTTTAAGTTATCTCGATCTTGATATTTTAATTCACGTCACGATAATTCACGTCACGATATTTATTGAAATGGTGGTAGATGAGAAAAAAAACCAAATAGAAAATCGTTGCTCCGGGAAAAATCAACATGATCGGATGTTCGAGTGTTGAAGGTGCAGGAGAAGGTGCAGGAGATGGAGGAGGCGGCACATCAAATACAACATGAGGTCGATCCCGAGCAAGCCTCAAAATCGCTTCTCCGAACAGAGAGTTTGCAGCTCTAAATATTAATAATCAATAAGTATCTTTATCTGATTGTGTGTGTGTGTGTTACTCACCCGAATTCACTTCGTAATTGTTCCGCTGAGTCATGAAACCAAAACGCTTGACTTAGATATCCTGTATGAGCGCCAACATCTTTAAGTAACTCAAGATTCTCCAGAATTTCCGTATCATTATCCGATGTCATAATCTGAAATTAAATAGAATAAGAATTCGGATCTTTAAGTTTGAAATCAAATTTAAACATACATTCATAGTCGGTCCAAGTGGCCATATATATCCAAGTCCTGTATGAAGGCTTCCAATGCCGCTTGCAGATTTTCCCTCAAACCAATAAGGATTCCATTGACTCCAGACTAAGGCACGCGTAGATTTATATAACGGATCATCAGCTTTGATAAAACCTAGATACGGTAAACTTAGTAAACTCGGGATATTTGGATCGTCCATGAGATTAAATGATCCAAATCCATTAACTTCATATGCGAAAACCTCTCCTAAAGTTTCGTGTTTTACAACTGCATGTTTATAAATCGCCTCTCGAATTTCGCGAGATAAATTCAGAATATAAGAAGATAGATCTAAGGTATGGAATAATGTATCGGGATCTGAATTATCTAAAATTTCTTTTAGATGCAGTAATTCCATTGAAATCATCGCATTTGTTGGTATGATGAATGGATAGAAAGACGCGTCATCAGACGGGCGAAAATGGGATTTTACGAGTCCTAAGATAATAAAACAACTATAATTAGAAGTTTGTGCAACTTAAATTAATTAAGGATTATATTCGTACCAGTTCTTTTAGCAATAGCCCCTAAATAAGAAAAATACGTATGGCAAAGAATTGATTAGTTAAAAACGGTTTATTGTTCATTCTATCTGGTTGATAAGAAACTAATTATACCTCTTCCATCCAGCAATAGAGTCTCACTGCTATTTCGTGATGGCCTAGTAAATAGATACGCCTCATTACCAAATTCTTCCATTGTGCCACGCATTTGTTCAGAAAATACGTTGACAGCAAATTGCATGGCATCAACCCAATGCTCGTTTTGCAGAAAGGATGAATCGTTAGTATTCTTCCAATAATGATAGGTTAATTTTAAAAAGGCAGCAAGATTATCAGCGCCAAATTTCTCCTGCCAGACAGCCGAAGAAGGCTTGGGGTAACTTTTATCATTTTCTTCCCAAGGATCGTACGGCCGGGGTAAATCGGAAGAGAGTGGCGGAAAAAATGAATTGGAATAAATGTCCTAAATTTAAATAACTTTATTGTTTCTTGCAAAAAGTCTAATAATATAGTAAAAAAATGATATTCATGATACCTTTGCCAAATATTCAGCTTGGATATTTATTACTCCAAGTATCATTTTAGCAAGCTCAGGATCATCTTTGGCAAAAGGAGTATATGAAATAACCTGATTGGTCGAGTCACGAATAAAAAGGACCCTAAATAAATGAACTAGCTTTAGGTAACTTCGTTTATTTAAATATCTTGTATACTTCATACGTACTCGAATTTCCCAGGAACGATGAAAGTTCGTGGATAGCCTTTTGAATCATCCTGCCACAGAACGTAGTCGTCTTTAAGGATTTCGATTAACTATTGTTCTAAAAGCTTAAACTAATGTCCCATAAATGAAGGTTTAGCTTACCCAAAGATTTCGACCAACAATTCTCAAACAACACAGCTAAATCTCGGTCTTTCATCTTCTTAACAACGTCATTAATAGCCTGCTCGACAGCTCGACTTTTAAATTTTCGATGTCGGAACCATGGTCGTTTGTAAGGAATTTTACCGAAATTAACAATAGGAGTGTTAGAATTATTTAAGATTGCCATCTTTCTAACAAAACAAGTTTTTGTTTTGTGCGGATTACAGTAATATTGATATCATTCTCATTTATGGTAATTTTCCGTGACCTATAAATTCACGTGTTCTGATCAGGAAAAGTAAAATACGTAATAGCGATAGATTTTTCCGGTTCGGCTTATCATGTTAAATTTTTAGTTTTCTAAAGAACGTGCCAATAATACCGATACTATCTTCATTCAAATAGTTTAAAAATTTGCTAAAACGCTTACTCTTCGCTTCGATTTATGGTGAAAGGATTCTTTTCTCTATCATCTTAGTAAGCAACTATTTACGTCGTAATCATCTTATGCAACAATTTATTTGAAATCCAAGCATACAAAAAATAATTTAATTTCTCTAAAGATTCAAAGTAAAAAAGCATAATTCGATCTTTAGCTGAAATTGATTCAATAACTCTTAGGTTTCATTACCTAAATTTCCACCCATTTCCACCCCACGTGGCTCATGTGCAGGCATATTTACCGTAACACCCGTTTTATTGTTCTTTTTCACCAATTCATCGATATAATCATAAGCGGATTCACCGATTTCGGTCATATCTATGCCCTTTCGCTCAATTTCGGAAGATGCACGAATTGATAGTACCGGGATTTTTTTCATCGTAAATAAAATAAGGTATGTTATGCAAAAAGAATAGAAAAAGCCGGCTACCGAATCTTCTATTTGATATACGATTTGCATCCAATATCGGTCTAACCATCCGCCGCGTATTGAAGTACGTCCGTCAAGAGATGCAATTGATTGCTGTGCGAATATTCCTGTGAGTAGATTACCAGTAAAACCTCCAACACCGTGAACCGCGAATACATCAAGAGCATCATCATAGTTAAGAAAACTCACATTTTTGAGTTTCGTCGCAAGGTTACACATAAGGCCACCGAGAACTCCAAAAAGCACAGCTGATGGAGCAGAAACGTAACCTGCTCCGGGAGTGATACATACTAGTCCAGAAATTGCTCCAGAGCAAAATCCAATTGCGGAGAATTTTTTCTCCAAACGGTAATCTACTATCATCCATGTAAGACCGCCAACTGATGCCGATAAATTCGTCACTATGACAGCGTTTACAGCTCTTGGTGATGCACTTAAAGCTGACCCCCCATTAAATCCAAACCATCCAAACCACATTAATACTGTTCCTAATACGGTATATGTCACATTATGTTGACGGAATTCTTCTTGATCTTCTTTATTTCGTTTCTTTAAAAGCATGCAATACGCCAAAGCAGCTGCACCAGAAGAAATATGAACCGGAGTTCCACCAGCAAAATCAAGACTGTTGGTTGCCCAACCATCAGGCGACCAAACCCAATGAGCTATCGGGTCATAGACAAGTGTCGTCCATACAAATATAAAGATTATTGCAGGTAATATTCGACCGCGTTCTGCACCTGAACCGATTGCTAACGCGGGTGTAATTGCAGCGAACATTGATTGGAAAATAGCAAAAGTCATATCTGGTATCTTTCGTTTCTCATTGGTACTCTTTATATTTTCTACTCCCATGAAGAAAGAATTTTTCAATGATCCAATGAACGCGTTCCCGTCTTGGCCAAAGGTTAAACTATATCCGAAAATGAACCACTGTTACAAATAAAAGATGGATTTTAGTAATTCATCCTAAATGCTCATCAGATATTGTTATTTACTACCTGTATAGAAACAACAGCAGCAGACAACACACACAACATAATCAATGATAAGGCATTTTTTCTTCTTGCCATGCCACTATAAAAATAACCGACTCCCGGAATCATGAGCCAAACCAACGCTGTTGAATTGAGGACAAACCCAACATCAGCGGGACGAGTATTCTGAGTTTCAGACATGTTTCATAAAAAATAAATTGGTTTTCTTTATTTCGGACCTGTATTTAACATTAACAAATTTGACAAAACTGGTTTTTATTGTGCATCACTGAATTTTCCATACCGTTTACCCGCAGCTTTTCGATTTTACAAAATGCAGATAAATATGTACATGTATTGTACAGTACATGTATTACTGTTACCGTCACTAAACATTTTGCAAACGTTAATTTATACAAATATGGCCATTTGTCAAACTCAAGTTCATTGTCCATGTACATGAACGTACATGTACTGACAGAGGGTCAACTAAAATTGAAAATTTATCGTTATGAATAAATCATGAAAAATCATCTTCATTTCTATTGGCTAAAAATGCGCACCAACTTCTAAATATAGCAATTAATTATTAATTTAGCTAAATAAGATGGTTTTCATGCATACGTACGTAGTTGTAAATTCACGTTCAAAATGTTTTTTTGCGTTTTGCATGGATTAATGCTCAAAACTTATGAAAATTTTCAAATACGTATGTAGAATGGAACCCATGAGCAGTTTTAATTATTAGCATTTATTGTGTTAAAATTTGGCATTGTGGCTAATCGCTCATTTGGAAAATGATATTTCAAAACTTGTGAAATAATCATTTGCGTTTGAAGTGTTCCAAATTTCACTATACATATTACGTATAGAATTTAATATGGTGAACATGTTTGATTATTACCGTTACATGTACATGAAAGATCATTGTACATGTATTAGTAAAAAATCGACTTTTCATATTTATCGTTGAATTTTTAACGACTGTCCTAATTTTAGTTGACCCCTCTGTACATGTAACATATTCATTTCTAGAAGTTTTCAAAAAAAAATAGACATGACATGTGAGTATTAATACAAAGAGGCTCTCGTTATAATAAAAAACCTCGATATAATGAAATGACTCTCAATACCCGATTATTAGTAGACATAAAAATCTCATTCGACATAACGAATTTTTACTAATTCAAAATTCAAAGAATAGCGATAGTAAATGACATTTCTAAATTTGGAACAAGTTAAATGAAGATGTAGATTAGTCGCAGATTAATATATTTAAGGCAGGGATTGTACTGAACCAATTGAACTCTACGCTTCTGTTACTGCGATTCTTTGAATCGGATTAAATCTAAGAAACATCCGTGGCTACGGTCGACTCGCTTCATTCAACACAGTTCTGGTGGAAAGTAATGACGGCCAATTTTTTTTTTATTATATTTCATTCAATTATATAATAAAATTAAAAAATTTTTATTTTGATAGTGCCTTTGAGTAGGGCATTATGCCCCTAAAATACCAGTACTTGATGTGATCTCTTTCCGTGTCAATGCAAGTTTGAATAAAATTTAATGGTCTAAAAATTTTGTAACTTGAACGTTTTTTAACTAAAAAAAAAAAAAACTAAAAATCGCAATAATTCGATAAATTATTATCAAAAATATTTGTCTAATTAATAAGACCAAAATTATAAAATTCTGATTGCTGGTTATTGAGAAAAAAGATTTGAAAATTTTACAAACTTGATGCCTATTAGATTTTCGCAAATTCATCACATTTTATTTTTTTAATTGTTATGATCTCGCACTTTATGTATATTTTGCTTCTATAAAAAATGCTAGTATTATAGTAAAATTTACATAACGATTTCATCGCCATTACCTTCCGCCGGAACTGTACATTTACTACGTAATAATTGTTAATAGAGGTAATATTCGACCTTTGTAAGTTCACTGCATACTCATGCTTAATAAATTAAACTTCTATTATTTGATTCTCTACGTATCTATTTAAATGCTATTATTAATTAGGATAATGTTTGTTTTAATGCTATTATTCTTAGTCGTAAAAGGTGGGTGTGCGAGACTTAGTGTCTAATTAACGAATGGTCGTCTTTCAATTCTTTCCATTGGTATATCATTTTCGTTGCTTTGAAAGAGGGATGTTTCACGAATCACTCGTAATTCGCCGGTTCTTGGATTAGTCGCTACCAGTTTCGTCGCATGGAACAATGCAATTTCACCCATTTCTGTTTCATCAAGACCCCGTTTCTCGGATTCGGGGTCCACGCGAAGTGCAAGTCCGGGGATTTTATTTAAAATAAATAGGATAAAATATGTAACACTGAAAGAATACACAAGACCTGCGACTGAACCTGCTAACTGATAACCTACTTGGACCCAATTTCCATCTAACCAACCTCCGGCAAACTCTGTTTCCATTCTACCAGCATACTGTGCAATTGATTTCTGTGCAAATATTCCAGTGAGCACATTTCCAAGCAGACCCCCGATACCATGCACGGCGAAAACGTCCAGAGCATCGTCAATCGCAAGAAAGTGTTTCAATTTGACCGACATATTGCATATACTGCCAGCTAGTAATCCAAAAAGTACAGCCGACGCAGGACTAACATAACCTGCACCCGGTGTAATTGTGACGAAACCGGAAATTACACCTGAACAGAAGCTGAGAATGGATAATTTACGTTCCAAACGATAATCTAATAACATCCAACTCAGTCCTCCAACCACTCCTGCTAAATTCGTCGCTACGATCGCATTGGCCGCTTGTAGATTTGCCGAAAAAGCTGAACCACCATTGAAACCAAACCATCCGAACCAAAGAAGCACCGTGCCAAGTGCAATACTAGATATATTGTGTGGCCTGAATTCTTCCATGCCATGACCATTTCGTTTCCCAAGTGTCATTGCATACGCCAATGCAGCTGCGCCGGATGTGATGTGCACCGGTGTACCACCTGCAAAATCAATACTCCCAATTTTGTGTGCCCATCCCCGCTTGGACCATGTCCAATGAGCGATAACATCGTACACTAGTGTTGTCCAAATGAAAATAAATACTATCGTGGGAAGCATACGATTACGTTCGGCTGCAGCTCCAACTACTAGAGCGGGTGTTAAAGCAGCAAACATACATTGATAATTTGCGAAAACTAAGTCTGGAATTGTCTTAGCCATGTCTGACTGACCATCAAACACATTGCGATAGAACATATGGTCAAGATTTCCAATAAAATCCCCTCCTGTAGTGCTGTATGTTAAACTATAACCCCATAACCACCACTATAATCAAAAATATTAATAAATTTAGTATATAGATTAATGTGTGTTTATTTGAAATAACAGACATATTTACCTCACCTGAAAAGTTACAACAGCCGTTGATGCTAAACACAATAAAATCATCGACAAAGCATTTTTACTACGTGCCATTCCACTGTAAAAATATCCAATGCCTGGTGCCATAAGAAACACTTGTGCCGTTGCCACTAGTACAAATCCAATATCACCGGTTTCATATTTTATCGGAGATGTTATACTTGTCTCGTTTGAAGGATTTGAAGCCATGAATAAATGTATTTTAATTAAAGTGTAATTGACACCGAGCAAAAAGTGTTTTAATAAAGATTCTAATATCTATGCTCTATAAAATGATTCATAAGTTTGGAATTAGTTTGCAAAGTTAAAGCTTATTCAGAAATAAAGAGCGAAAACAAATCAAATGAGTATAGGGTAAAAAGTAATTTGGCATAATTCTTGCGATCATGTCTCTTTAATATAAAAATCGAATAATTGTAAATAAGATTATCTTAAAGACTTCAATTGGCTACATTTCGTTATCGTTACATGTACATGTACATGTACATATCGATATTGTACGTATTCGGAATAAGCAGTTTACGTACCAGAATTCTCACATATTTCAATGCACATGTACTGTATTTTGATAGGTAGTAGAAAACCGCAATACGCCTATCGCTATCTTGTGTCAATTTCTAATATGTACATGAACATGTATTACTTGCAGCTCAATTACATCTATGAAAATCTGATAAAATTTATGCAATGCAATCTAAGTTTTAAATTTCATTTTTTGAGATAGCGATGGCGATAGATTATCTATTAACGTTAACCATCGCTATGTAGATTTTATGTTTTGACACAAGTAATTAAAATAAAGACTTGATGAATGGCATGTTTCATTGTACCAAATAAAATAAGAAATGTGATTGTTACTGTCTTCTAATTTTATTATATACAGTAAAGACTTTAACGCAGTGTTGCCAGTCCAGTTAATTTTATTGGAACTGGGTTCGATTGGATTGGTCCAATTATATTATGCTCAAATCAATTGGACCAATTGGACTGGTCCAATTGGTCCTAAATTCCAGTAGCTCCAAAAGTCCAATTGCACAACACAGATTTGACAAAAGTCTGATGATTTAAATTTAAGATATTATAATTAAATTTCGTTATAACGATAAGGATAACGAAGCTTATCTTTCTGGAATGATAATCTCTAAATTTCGTCGGTATAAACAAGAATTCGGAAAATCAATATATTAGATCCAGACACAGTACAAATAGCGCTGCATATAAGTACCGTAATATGAATTTATTTAGAATACTGGAATCCAATAATCTTTTAAGAAATTACACCCATTTCTAACATGTACAGTACCCCAAAAAGTAAGGCTAAAATTTTTATGTTTAATTTTTAATCGGGCGTTACTTTTTGGGGGTACTGTACGTATTCGTTTTCGAATTTCAAATACGTACATGGTTTTTAATTATAGCGATAGTCAATTGCGTGTACATGTACACGGATTTGAGCTATTACAGACAAATTTCGGTTCCGGACAAGATTCGTTCAACAAGGCAAACAAGGATTGATTAAAAAGTCAATGCCGATACTGTATACCGGACGCTTTTTAGCGTATCTATGCAAAGTGATCATCGATTTAAGTTTAACAATGAGATCACCAGAAAACGTACATCTAATCTACCAAAAGGAACAAAAAAACTTTGCAAAACTAGCTTTGTGTGAACATACTGAAAAAATTTGGTCAATTGGTTGCAGGGATATCAAAAAAAGTTTCGGATATACTGTATTGTCTCAAAAATGGAATCGTTAAAGATAGAAGGAACACTTACAACCAACTAAATTCAAATTCTTATACCACTTTTGATGAAGATATATAACGCACTTGATATTCAAGTTTGCAACATCGTCAATAATAAAATACCCAAATATCAACATGAACCGGTTTTGACAGGTTATACAGAAAAAAATAATTTTGACTGCAACGATAATGAACTAGATTCCACTTTGTCACATGCACCACTTCCTGAAAAGAAAAAGTTGCCATGTTGTTTATATAAAATATGAAATCCGTACCATGGGTAGCGGTATTGATAATTCGGTACGTGCACAAAGCACGGATGCAACGTGGTACATGTACATCATATCAAATGACAAACTGTCATATACGAAATACGTAGTTATCTTTCAAATATTTAAGGGATTAATTTATACTTGAAAGTTGGAATAATTTTGTAATATACTATAAATTTTGTTAATTCGCTAATATACATATGCATGACAATATATTGTTGAGATATAGCAACTTTGACTACTATTAGAAATAATCGGGAGAAAACTGGTATGTTGTGTCGAAACAGTTAATTTATTTTGGCAAATAAAAATATTTCACCTGAACTTCATCATGAAATCGGTGAGCTCATAGAACAACAGATCGCTTATAACTAGGGATTCATCTATATGGATGACGATGTGAAGATATGAAAAAGAATTGTCTACTAGAGAAATCACAGATGTAAATGAGAGGAAAAGAAAATGAAGATATTGAAAAACCTCTAGAACCAAGAAAAAGATTGGCATTGGTGTTATTTAAAAATAATTTATTTTAAAGAGCATTGAAGGCAAAAAGCAAATAATCGAATAAAATTTCAAATCACATATTCTTTCAATTCTAACATAACGGATTTTCATGTGTTTTATATACGTATTTCCCATAGTGCCAAAGATTTTTATAACGGAACCGTTAATGTAAAGGACACGCTTGTTGGAAATGTTTTGTTCGTTATATCGACGGTCAGTGTATATTTTATTGCTCATATAAACTCCAGCATAATGGATTTAATATTGTATTCGAGTCAATTTACCTACGCCATAATTTGATCGAGCAGACTCGAACCAATTATAATTCGAGTAAGTGACCCGGATGAAATTTTTTCCACCGGGTCCAATCCCTACTCTAGACTGTACTCTGAATTCATACTTAACCTTTTTACATAATTGTCATAAAAAAAAAGACACCGATTATTTATTCGTCTGCTATTTGTATGATCCAATTCTGGTAAGTGAAAAGTTAAAATGTAATACAAAAACTCACGCACCGATTAAGAAACATAGGTAGTAAGAAACGTGGATTATGTTTACCGTTATGTCTTTTAAATGTAATTGATGATTTTAATCGAGTAACTTGTTGAATTTACTTACTTCACGTTAATGATTTTATTTGAGTATGGTGCGCCCCACTTAGTCGCATCAAAAGTGCTGAAAATTTTGCAGATCATGACTTATAAAGTCGAAAGTTTTACAGATCATTACTTATAAAAATGTGATTATTTATATTAATGCTGAAATTTTAAAAAATGCATTATTTAAAATTGTATCCCAATAAAAAATATAATAAACTTTGAGATAAAATATATTATTTGATAGTACTTAACTATTAAATGATGTATTTTTTTTATATTTGAAGTTCATATAAAAATCCGTTGCAATTTAAAGTATTCGATGCGGCTAAGTGGAGCGCACCATAGCAGAATTAAAAAATTGCTACTCAAGTTACTTGATTGATTAAGTGAGAGTATATAGAGTAAAATGGCATTGATTATCTATGTATCCACTTAGTGCTCTAATCGGGTCGGGTCCAATCCGTGACCGACCCGAAATATTTCGGATCAGGCTAAAACACGTTATTTCTTGTTTTAAATTGAACGAAAATTTTTAGATATATACACAATTACATAATTACATTCTGAACAACTTTACTTAAGACACAAATACAAATGTCTTAGTAAAAATAGAAGTTATTAACGAAAAATTATTTTACGATTTTCGGATCGGGTTGATCTCGACCCGACCGACTCGACCCGAACAGAGCTTTATACCCACTAGATTTATTTTAGTCTGCCACAATTATTCGTGTAAATCTAGATTTGAAAGTCTTATGGAGATTTATACTAAAAGTTTTCCATTGCATTTACTTTATTATTTTAAAAAACCTACTACAAAAATTGAATTATGTAAATCTAAAAGCAGTAAATTTGATATGCAGTTTCATACGCGACAAATTTCAATATGATGAGATTAAATGCTTTAACTAGTTAAAATTATGATACTTATTGCATTAGCGCAAATTTTTATTAACGTGTATATTAATTATACACATTTTTTATTTCAGCAGGACTAGAATCTAAGACCAAACTTAGTAATGATTGCAGAATATATAATCTCATTCTTATTTTCTAAATACATCAAATAGATGAATTCATATTACCGTAGAGCACTGCATACAGTACCCCGGGTACTAATCAAGAATATCCCTGTAAATTTGAATAGTACCCCCAAATACAGGGTGATGAGAGGAATATATGAAAAATCGTTACTAATTGGAAGAGTGCCTTGCTATTAACATAATAGACAAATAAAGAAAATTAACGTTTTACTTATAAAAATTATGCTGCAAACTGCTTATCGGCAAAATGGGGGAGGGTACTGTATGCAGTGTTCTACGATAGAGCCAATATACTTCCACAAATGATTGCATTGAATATTGAGTTTGATAATAAGTTATATACGTTTTTCCCTCTTGCAGCTCATTAGTCGAGAATACTTATATACATTTACTCGTGAAATTTTCATTTAAAGTTACTAAACTCGAATTTAATATTATACAAAGTATCCAGTTTTCAATTGGTTTAAATTCAATTCGGAGCTTAAAACTAAGCCATGACATGATATGATATGATTCTCAGTTGCTCATAGTTATTGCCTTTACTGCATAATGCACGTAGATTCTTGATTCTTGCCATTATCATAGAAAACCAATTTATTAACCACATATAAATACTTTCTGTGATTTTCACTTTTAAATATACCATTCTATCGTAACTAATTTATTTTCTATCTCTCATTATTTATCGTTATAAGTATGACTAAATACATGTATTATTAAAAAAAAATATTTGAGACACAATTTAATTTTGATGTGTGTGTTACAAACAATATGTAGCGGTATTTTCAATATTAACGTTAATGTGCAAATCAACTACGTACCACTACCGCTACGTGTTGTAGTTCCAAATTAATACATGAAGAAATCCAACCAATCAGAAATGGTTCGTGTGATATAGCCGATACTATTTAAAGTGATCTTTGAAGAGTTCAAATGCTCACTAAATTAATATTTTAATATACAAAAATACATTATATTATTGATCTTATCGAAGGTTATTTGGTGATTAAATATTTGGGTGCAATCCTTTACAGTCCAAGTATTGGAAGACTTTAGACTTTTTGCACCATATTAGCTAATATCCATTTACTATGGAACTACCGTAAAGCCCCCCCCAAAGAGAATGTAAACCCAGATATCTTAAATAAAAGTAATAATCTTCTCGAGAGTAAAAAATATGTTTATACAGTGGATATTCGTTTTTCCGTATAATAGACCCGGGTTAGATCAATTTTTTTGGAGTTTGTATGAATCAGATCACAGGTGGATTATGCGACGTTTTACGGTACCTCTCACTTATCCTGAAAGATCATACCAAGCATAAATTTTATAGAACCTGAGGTAAGTAATAGTTCTTTCACGGATCAGTTTCTATATCATGCAACATCACGGCGCAACCGTGATGTTGCATGATATAGAAACTGATCATAACGTTCCGTGACAAAATAAACCAACTCATTAAATTATCTTCTTTACTCAATCGAATTATGACTAAAAAACTTATTTCACATTTAATACTCCTTTTCCGGTTTTTAAAATTACAGCAATTTATAGTGAATCTTTAAAAACAACTTTTTCACTTTATATATTTATATGTAACACATTAAGCATGATTATGTTAAATAACTGCGAAAATATCTGTAAAAAAGTCACGGACGACTGATTAGGAAACGTGAATAAACCACGCGATCTCGATAAAAATCACAGCTAACACTTTGATATCTCTGGTATCGCGTGGTTTGTCTACTACTAATAATCGTTACTAAATAAATGTTAGGTTGATAAATATGTAAATTGACTGATAAATATGAATTAAACTAAACTAAACTAAATTAAATTAAATATTACTGTTAATAATAGAAGAGATTTAGTTTCGCGCGCCGTAAGCACTGTCAGTTAATAAAGTTCGGAGATTGTAGCCGATTCGAATCCTAGTCTCAGGTGGAGTTTCAAATTATTCTTTCATCAATTTACACATCTTCATCTAAAACCAAAAGATAAATAGTTTTATGATTGTCGTATAATAATAACTTGCAATAAAATTAAATTTATACATACCATTCTTAATAAATGTCAATTGCATCATCTTTCTCGATATCTATTGTGATAATTCGTTTTATGAAGGAAAAAATGAAAGAAAAGCTTACAAATTCAAAAAAAATACCACTAATCCCGTAAGAAGATTGTTGAATTTCTGAAACGGAATCAAACAACTGAAACCAGTTTTGTGCTTCTTCCTCATCTTCATCAATAAAACAACCCGCTGATTCGTAAAGAATTTCCACAATCTCGGATGAATTTGGTCGATTATCTGGATCTGGATCCCAACATCTCCAAATTAGTTCTCTGATTTTTTTTTGGAATTCCAAGTGGAATTTTTGGTCTTTTATTAGTTTGGCATATATCAAGTTGAAGATGTATACCGTGAGGAACGCCTTTGAATGGCATTTCACATGTGAACATTTCCCACATTATCATTCCAAATCCGTAAATGTCGGCTTTTTTTGAATATGGTTTATGTTGAAGCACTTCAGGTGCTATATAAGGCAAAATATCACGTATACTTCTAGAATCATTAAATGACTTTCGACCAAAATCACAAATATGAGCATTATTTTTTGTGAAAAGAATATTCCCACTATGAATATTCCCGTGAATTAGACCAATCTCATGAATATCGGAAAGCGCCGAAGCTGCATCCCCTAATCTCATTATTCTTTCTTCATGTGAAAGATGTTTTGGATCTTTCTCCGATAATTTGAGAAACGTCTTCAAATCTCCCAATTCTGCGTATCGCATAACAAGAACGATCTCATTACTTTGAGGTTTCTGCGAAACAGCGTAAAGTAAACTAACCATAGAGTCGTTGCGTTTGCATTGTAGATGCGCCTTGATCTTTGTGATTTATTATATAAAGTTAATATTTTTGCATATTTCTATATAACATAATATAAAATTGAAATTTATTACTTCTTTTATTGTCAAATCATTATTTTTCCTGTTTTTATTTGTTTCAGTGCTACAATATGATTCGGACACCGCTCAAAATGGCGATTTGTTGGATCCCAATTTCTTATAGGTCCTTCTTTCCATTCTGCTTTGAACACATCAGCGAAACGACCAGATTTCATGTACTCTATCGAGTCGAAATTCTTATATGGTGTCCAAAGTGTTAAATCAATTGGTTTTTCTACCGATAATTGTTCTTGTAGTAATAATTTGTATAATGCTAATGGTATGTCGCTAGTCCAAAGAGCACCATCACATTTTGCACAAAATTTTATGTGAGGATTGTATGAATTATTATTGCACCTTTCGCAAAAATTAGACTCCATACGTATATACATGTTCGTACATGTAATCAAAAGTTTATCGTTATGATTGGTTAAATAAATATAATACATGTAATTAACCAATAGGTCTGCAGTGGAACAGTCAATTCTTGTTACATGTACATGTATATCGATATAGCGATAATAAATATCGATATATTAATATACATGTATATTAAATTTTTTTGTTGATTTTATAATTAAACAGTTCTTCCATTTTAATAAACGTGCCCAAAGTCTTGTTCATTTTTTCAAAATGATATAAAATTTAGAAATAATTACATGTACTAATAGAAATATAACTTAAGCGTGAGAAAAATCTTTTTTACTTTCCAATCAAACAGTCCTTGCATTTTAAAGTTGCCACAAGTCTTATTTTTTCAAATATACATGTATTTGGCTTTAAAATGATATAACGATAAATTTAGATATACATGAATACATAGCGATAGCTCTAAACTTTCCATTTTGTTTTATTTGGAAATTTGGTTTCACTAGCTGAGTGTGGGCCATGTGTTTTCTATGTACAGTTGATATCATATTTGATTTTTATTATATATGATGAGAACTATATACTTTAAAACTTGTATATGTATACAAGTGGCTTGAATTATATTAAATCTATTAAAGACTATTATTTTTGTTTTTAACTAGTTATTTGATTTTTGAATTTTGTTATTTTGAGTTTTATTATTTGTTATTTGTTATTATCATATTATTATTAATTGTAATTTTTTTTAGTTTGAAATACTTTATACAAGTACAAAGAATTAGCATTTCAAAATTCCCTTTACTATATATTCTCCTCTTATTTTACAATATTTTCTTTTCTCTTTTGATTTTTACTCTTCTATAATTCTTTCACATTTTTAATTTTTCTTCAAACTATTACAATTTTAGTAGAAATTGATATAAAACTTAGATATTTTTTCTTTTCTATTATTTTTACCACTTTATTTATTTCCTTTTCCAATACTTGTTCAAGTTTATAAGCTAATTTATTGACTAGTAAACAAACTTGTAATAGTAATACAAATTCAAAACTACAAATCAATATATAATACTTGAATCAGGCTCAAATTTGTATAATGATTTGATTCAAGTTCAGCTTGAACTTTGAATCTTGCTTGAACAATACCAAAATCCAGTTCAAGTTCAATTCAAATTTTGAATTTAGACAAAAGTTCAATCCAGTTTAGTTTATAAAAACACTAACTTTTGCTTGATATATACAAAGAAACCTCTCTAAGTACACCTCCCCCTGAAACTGTATTAAAAAGACAAAGAGTGTGTATTTAGAGAGGGTGTGCATTTATAGAGAGTAAATAATTAGAGATCTTATAGATTTTGAACTGAGTCATAGAGAGAGTGTATATAGTATGTGCATTATAGGGGTGCACTTAGGGAGATTTCTCTATAGATCTTTTTAATACACCTTTTAGGTTGGATTCCATTCGTATTAAGCCAATAAATGATCGAAGACAATTGTATGCATTTTGGTTTTTTGTACCAGTAAGTTTTTTTGCTTCAAGTAATCTCATTTTATTGGCAAATTGCTGTTCATTATCATCATTGGTTTCATATCATCAGTTTTCTTATTGTTATCAGTCCCATTATTATCAGAATTATCGTTGGCTCCTTCGTCATCAGTTTTATTGTTACCAGTTTTTTCGTTGTCATCAACCTATTGTCGGTCCCATTGTTACCAGTTTTTTGATGTCATTATTACCGATTCTTTCGTCGTCATTGGTCCCAAACTCCATATTATTGTCGAAATCTGCTTCAAACTCATTATCTCTCCTCTCTCTTGCAATATTAACACTATCAGACGAAAGAACTAGCCTGACATTATCGTCAATAATTGGATCACTATGTGCTTCGGCATTTGTTGAAGAAACAAAATAATCGGTGATGGTGGGTGTTTTTTGCAGCTTTAGTGTATAAATCTGTTGGCCTGAACTTTGATATTTAGTGGCTCGAGAATTGCCAAGGTCTTTTATGTGTGCAGTGTAATTTAAAACTTGGCATTTTTTTTATCATCTTCGGTGTCATTTTCTAAGTAATTGCTTTTGCTCGAGTCAAGAATTTGGGATACAAACTTCCTTTTTGGTCCATGTCCGCTATTTTGGAGTCTTGCCCTAGCGGCATGCACCTCCTTCTTTACTTTCATGACAGAACAAACGACAAAGAGGGATGAGGAGCAACCGAGGTTCAGGCCATAGCCACGGAATAAATTATTTGACCAATCAGAGTTCTTTTAGATCACGGGTTATTATAAAATATCGTGATAGTACATGTATAATGACTTTGCGAGCTAATAAATAAAATTAAATCGATACTTTGGTAAAGATTTTAATGTCTCAATTTTTTCACGTGCCATAACGCAAAACTTGATATTCCGGGGTAGCACAAGTCAATAAGTGGAGCGTAATTTTTTATCAGCCCGACAAAACAATCTGACACAAAAAGCAAAAAACGTGAAAATTAAAGGGAACTGATGCATAAATCTAGCTTGGAGCACTAATTAAAAATGTCGAGGAAATTTTGCATATAATCTAGCTCTATTTCTAACCCTGACTCTAACCTAACGCATAAAACCATTAAAAGGTTTTTGTCACGTACGTACTTGCACAAATAAGTAATCCGCCACAAGAAAATGAACAATGCAAAAATACGGAGAACAGATGCCTAAACATAACTTTGAACGTTAATGAAAAATGTCGGGAAGGCAATTTTACATATAATGAAAATCTCACTTAGCCTTTAATTATGCGGAATGTTTCGGGCAATTGTTAAGAAGTCGGATCGAAAACTCACGTGAAGGGAAAATCGATTGTTCAGCGCCGATTACGTACTCGCGGATCAGCAATTAATAAATGTCGGGTAGCACAAACCAATAATTTTTTATCAGTCCGGCAAAACAAACCCGACAAAGAAATGGAAAATGTGAAAAATACATGCTTAAATTTAGTTTGAAGCACTAATAAAAAGTGTCGGGGAGGCAGTTTTACATATAATCTTGGTCTCAAACCTAATCCTTACCCTAATTCTAACCTTTAAAACTACCTTTTAACATCGTGTTACCGATCGACAAACTTAACGTTAATAAATGCGCATACGTATTTGACGACGTATTATTGTTATTGTTATTGTTATCGTTATCGTTAAAATGACAACAACGTTTGAATTATTTCTACCATTGATAAAGGAGGTTCAAAAATATGCGGATAGAGTTTTAGAATGTTACGAAAATGCCGAATATAATAAAAGAGTTTGCGGTGTATTACTTAAACGTGTATATAGTGTTGCAGGCGAAGTGAAAGTTTTACGTCATCTAAACAGTAATTACAGTTGGTTCTTTGAAAATAGCGAGAATTATCCGATTTTTCAAGGATTTGTTAAAGTAATTGGAAAAATCCAAAATTTTGTCATTGATATTTCGCAGTTGCAAGGTGTTGGTAAATACTTTAATGAATATCGAGGCCCCGAATTTTCGATGGAAAGAACATTTTATAGTCTTATTGGAGAATTCGAAAAGTCCACAGAAGCACTTACTCATGCGTTAAAAGGTCATCTCTATTTTGGAAGACCGAAAACAGATCAAAACATCGAAGATAAAGAAGCTATAGATCAGGATATTCGGGATATGGAAAATGTAATATAAAGTCTTTATAAAAATCAATAATCACATACTGTATAATTAATCTATTTATGCGAATTCTTAATAGTATATTGGAAGTATTGCTGGTGGTATTGCAGATGGACAAAACATTTTAGAAGAAGTAGGGACTGTCGCTACTCTGAACAAGACTTTTCAGAGAAAAGAACATATCGTTCTTTTTGATGAAGTACTCGACGACGCAGTTCTTAAGATTGAAAACTTTCAATATACCGACGTAAGATACAACGAAGCACTCAAGTATGTAAGATATGATAATGTCGAAGTTGCATTCAAAGAGGTTGAAGTCGATAAAGAGACTAAAGATAATATTAAAAAAGAAGTCACAATCCTTAAAAAATTAAAAGGAGCAGAGAATATAATTGTGTTTCACGGAGTTATAATTGAGCCGAATAAAGTTTTTCTGGTAACCGAATGGGCTACCGAATCAAGTTTGAAAGATTTCTATCAACGTAGGAGATTGGATTGGAGTCTACAAATACAATTCGCTTTAGATATCTCTAGAGGATTGACTTATTTAAAAAGCGCCGAAATCCTACATCACGATATTCGCAGTCAAAATATTTTTATTACAAAAGGCAATCCGCAGTATACAGCAAAAATCGGCAATTTCGGTTTAAGTCGTGGTTTAAGAGATGCTACCAGAAATATTCGTGAAGGTGTCGATAATGTTCGATACATGGCGCCAGAGAAACTTAAGGAGAATAAACATCCATATGATTTTAAGTGTGAGATATATAGGTAAAAAGATTATACAAATGACTATCTATGATACTCTTATAAACCTTTTTCTTATTAATTTTATTTTATAGTTTTGGAGTGCTTCTCTGGGAAATAGCTGAACAAAGGGTTCCATTTCAGAATATCGAAAATGACATTGTAGGAATTCGTCAGAGGGTTATTGATAATAAACGAGAACAATTTTCTTTACCATTACAAGTTCCAAATAAATGGGCAGAGATTGTTTATAAAAGTAATTTTAAAATTATTAGTGTCATATTACTAATATATTAATTAACAATATTTATTTCTTTAATTACCGATTAGCTACAAACTTTAATCCTATGAATCGCCCAACTCTTACGACTATATTTACGGAACTATTTGATCTTTCCAAAACACATCTTCCAGCTACTCAGCACCCTATTATGTTTCAAAATGTTTTTTATCCATCAAATCCAAGACCCTTCTATACTGTTCAAGATGCCATTAATCTTCATAAAATCAAAGGTGGCGATCGTAAAGAAGCATATAAAATATTTTGCAACTATGCTGATGTGGGCGATTCCACGGCGAAATATTGGGTCGGATACTACTTATATTATAATTGCTTAGATAACAAAGAAACTTACGAGCAACGCCAAAACACAATAGTACGAGCTGCACAATATTTTAAAGAAACAGCTGATATGGATGTGCCTGAGGCTCAACTTCGATATGGCCATTGTCTATGGAAAGGCGAAGGTATCGAAAAAAATGGATCATTGGCCGTGGAATATTTTTTGAAATCTGCACATAATGGAAACTCAACAGCTATGTATAACGTTGGGAACATGTATTTCAATGGAAATGGAGTAATTCAAGATAAGGAAAAAGGTGCATACTTTCTCAAGAGGGCAGCATTAATGGGTCAACCGAAAGCTATCGAGATATGCAAAAAAAATTTTATTCGACTTTAAGTTATTACACAAATTTTATCTCGTTCTGATTTATGTGTCACTTTTTTCTTCCCTCCTTATCATCTTTAAATTTATCTTCATATTCGTATACCGGACAGCAACCTTCTATTCGTGTCTTATCAAAAATTAAACACACACAACAAACAAACCATAATAATAGTTGGGTATGGAATGACGTTGATAAAGAAATTATTGATGGTTACAGATATTGCCAGGTTTTAATAGAGAAAGAATACAAAAGTTCACGTAGAAATCGTTTCAAGTTTTCCTGTACAACCACTAACATCGGAAGCCATTTAAATAAAGTGCATAGAATTTTTTCAATTATTTCTTCTGAACCAGCAGCGAATAATCAAACTATCAGAAACTGTCACAAACGATTTAAAACCCTACAAATATTCACATAAATGATATCAATACATTATGGCTAATTTATTACAATGGATAGTTGAAGACTTGCAGCTTTTCAATATTGTTGAGATACCAACTTTCGTTAATTTATGCAAGGCTTTAGACGAGCAATTTTCTGTACCATGTGTCAATACAATAAAATTAAACTTAGGCGAATGCGTAATATTTGCAGAAGAACGTTCACAATATGAAATAAATCATTCAATAGAGACTGGCGTAACGATACATTAGTTGTCTTCTGAATTTGAACTTTGTCAAGGGCTTTAACAATCGAAGAATTTCCATTCTGGTGATAGAATCGATGAATTTCTCCATGTATTATTTGAAAAATGGTGTATATTAGACAAAGTAATCGCAGGCGTCAGTGATAATATGACAATTGCATTACAGAAATTTAATTATCAACATACGTATTGTGTGTTATGCTCATACTCTTCAACTTGCAATAAATGAGGGTTTTAAAAAATGTAGTGAACTTATTGATGAGACCTAAAACATTGAATAACGCTTTAGTTTATCGTGACAAATACGTATCGTGAAACGTTTTGACGTATCGGTATACAACAATTAGTGACGCAATCAAATTCAAATATTCTTGAACCTATTCGTGATGTCAAACCAAGGACTTATAATGAATTACAACGTCTTGTTTTTCTTCGAAGTGCTAGCGCTATATATTCTTTAGTACATGTAGTAGTACCGTAAATTCTCGAAATAACAGGCATGGGCGTTACGTATTTCGAAAATTGCACCTTCTAAAAATAGCATAGTTGGTTTCAAAATAACGCCCATGTGCGTCCCTAAATAACGCGCATCTAACAATACACACCGGTACATCAGCGGATTTTATAGCATGTGTACGTACATGTAATAGTTTACGTATTTGAATGCAACGTTGGAGTTTTATGAGTTCGTAATATACTAATACCGCCAATCGGGTTCAGAAAATCGACCCTTTATTTCGAAATAACGCACATGGCGTACTCGAAATAACGCGCAGGTGATCAAATAACGTGCAGATGCCCGTTATTTACGATACGTAATTCTTAAAAATGATTTCGAAACAATGGCAATAATTTAGAAGCAATATTATTAAGTAATGACGAATGGACTATACTATAAGATTTATTAGATCTATTAAAGCCATTTGTTCAAATTACAGATTATTAGTGGAAGTCAATATCCAACGCTAAGCATAATGTTACAAATTCAAATTCATCCCCTTAATGATTCGATGTATATTTGAAGAATGCACGGTAAAAACATTACCCAATCATGTTAAGCAAGCTCATAAGTATCCGGCGATTCTGCTTCTTCGGTTCCTTCTGAAAGGTTATTTTCAGACGCTGGTAATATGATTACAGAAAAACGCAATCGATTAGATCCTGATTGTGTACACGATGTTCTTTTTTTAAAGCTTTTAAATGTATACCCGAGTCTTGTCACAAAAATTTGGGGTGACTTTTAATTAATATTACTCGACTTCTCTTTAAATAAACTACAATAAAAAATATATCATTTTATTCGGCAAAAGGAGGGCTATTCATACATATCGGGTTGGATACCCATTTGCAGCAATCACAGCTTGCATCTTCTCGGCATACTTTCAATAAAATTTTTTAAAATTTCCAGTTCGATTTTTTCTCATTCCTCTGCAAGTGCATACATCAATTCTTCTTGATTTTTGGGATAATTGGTCATGCACGAATTCGTCTTTCCAAAACATCTCATAAATGCTCAATTGGATTTAGATCAGGACTCTGGGCAGGTCATGGAAGTGAAGTTATTAAATTTCTCTCTTTCCATTCATTAACCGGATTATTCTGTAAACGTGAGCATTATCATCTTGAAAAAGATGAACAGAACTAGCTGTTTAAGATGCTGTTCAAGTATTTCTACATATTTTTGTCCGGTTATTGTACCTTCAACTTCGATTAGTGATCTAAGTGCATTGAGTAAACATCCCTATACAATTAATCCCCAATTACCTGATTATATACTAGGAAGAAGACAATCAACGTCATATTTTTCATGGGGTCGACATTGTTGTAATCATTAAATATCTCGATTCATCACTCCAAATTACTGATTCACATTCACGAACCCGATCTTTTCTATCTAGACACCATTTTAGTCATTTTTGACGGTTTTCCTTGGATATAAAAGGTTTTCTTAGTCCAACACGACCAAAAACCCATTTACATGAAGATTACGACGTATTTTTTTTTTTAGAAACTTCCAAAGCAGTATTACATTTTTCGGTAACTTCGTTAATTGCTTGTTGTCGATTTTCTTTACAATATTAATTATTCTTAGGGTGGCTCTAGAATTCAATGTTCGTGGTCTACCGCGTCGAAAAGCTACTGTGGTTCGGCCAAACTTTTTATATTTGTGTATAACGTTATGAACTGTGGATTTGGGTCGTCCTGGAGTTTCTTTTTCGGAAAAACCACACTTCCAAGCATCGATTATTCCGTCACGCTCAAAAACCGTAATTGGGCAATTTCTGTGAGTGTTGAGGGTTTGACATAATTTTTTTCACGTCGTTTGAAAGCTTACGATTTCAGCTTTCTAACGAGCTTTTGTGTGTTGTTACACAATTAACGATTATAGTCACCCCATTATTTATGTCGATCACTCATGATTCCAAACTTTTGCGTTTTGTGATTCTTTTGTTGCATGTATCACAAAGTCCGGCAAAAACAAATCCGACACAAAGAAAATGAAAAAATTTGAAAAATTCAGGAAATATGTGCTTAAACCTAGTTTGAAGCACTAATGAAAAATGTCGGGGAGACAGTTTTACATTTAATCCTGACTTCAAACCTAATTCTTACTCTAATATTAACCTTTAAAATCAACCTTTAACATTATGTTACCGATCGACACAATTTAATACATGTACAGTACCCCCAAAAAGTATCGGTATCGCTCGATTTTTTTAAAAAAATGAAATTTTCGATTTATTTCATTTCTGCTTTATATACATAAAAATTTTTTTACCATTAAACTAATACATTACCCACCCTCTATATGGCTTCAATATCACCTCGATTCCTTACGGCATCGAGCTCACATCCTACCC